TTTAACAAAGTAAGCTAATGGAAAGCATGCAATGCTTATGCTTTATGGGCTGAGGTTACTTAACTGCTTAGGGAAAACAGTATTTTGAATAGAGTATTCTCTTGGAGTATTCTCTTGAATCTCTGAAGATGCCATATTCTCTCCCTTCATCTTTTGTTTCTTTGCCAGTGCTGAACAGTGTGACATCATCTGTATGATGAGTATTTACCACAGTGCCAGAACAGATATTGTGAATTAAAGCTATTCCCCCATATGCAGTATGAAATATGCCTGAGGAGTACATCCAACTGGACTGCCTCCTCCTCGGGCTGTACTTGCTCATTAATCAGTCCAGCACCACAAAGCCTGATGCTAAAGGAAGGACTGAAATGCTCCATGGGGCATGTTATCAGGACGTTATTTGCGAAATGTATGCAAGCAGAAGTTGTTTAAAAATTAAGTATCCAATTATAGCACACTCTCTGCAGATTTTTTTTAAAAAGCCTCATTATAAAAATTTATTACTATCTATTATGTAGAATAGTTAGTCAAGGAAGTGGCCACTTTCAGAATGACCTTGACCTTGAATTCTTCAGGCATTTCAGTTTTATGTGGACTTCTCTCCAAAGGTGGAGTGATTGTAACAGGTATAGACTAGAAAACATTGCTAAATGTCAGGTTTGATTTAACATAACAGAGATCTCAGAGAAACAACTAACAACTACAACTAACTGCTACAATTTGCACAGCTCTGGCCAAGTTCCACGCCACCCTGGAGTCCCACCTTACAGAGTGAACTGTTTCACAACTGAAATCAGAAAGAATTGCAGTCCAGAAACTAAAGTGCTCAAGTCTATTTTTTTTTTTTTGACTACAGTTTCATCCTGTAATCAAATATCAAGTGCATTCAGTACAGTCAATACACAAAAATGTAAATTACTTCTCCACAAGAAAAGCAGCACTGAAAAGGAATTAGATGTTCCTGGAACCTGCATAAAGATGAATCAAAACATCCATTTAAATATAGAAACAAGTCAATAAAAAGCTAAATGTTGAAAATTATTTAGAGAAAGGAAAAAAAAAAAAATTACCCAACCCTTTTTCTCCCACTCTAATTTACTCATGTGTCCTGTTCAAAGAGAGCTTTTTATGAGATATTTTCAGTGTTCCAAGGTTGCTTCCTCTGAGCATTGTTAGCATGTCTACTGATCTGCTCGGGTCAAGTTTTCTGAACACTCATTTTCTTTGCCAAGAAAATACCACAGCTGAACGTTACAAACAGTTGGGTTAGCCAAGCTTCACATCTGCACGCACTTAGAAATGCAGTTTGGCTCTTGCTTTTAGTAATTTCTGGCCAACCTGAAAATGCTCATAAGCTTTGTACCATCCGTTACACCTGGCTGGTTAGTGTTCAGGCAGTAAGTGCTGCTGATGCAACCTCCAGCACACCTCCCTCCCTGCTGAAACGAGGCACCCGTGGAGCCTAACTACAGTTCTACATATTCTTTAACATATTTCTTAAGTAGTTTATGTTTCATTGAGCATGACTTAAAAAAAAAACAAACAAAAAATCATCACATCAGAAAATGCTATAATCACTTGATATAATAAAATGCGAGCCAAAGAAATCTATACTTTAAAAGTTAATCAAAATCTTTATGATTGAATATGAGTGTTCTTCTGAAATAGCTAAGATTCCTTAATTAATAGACAAGAAATAATTTGGAGATATTCTCAAGGCATTTTTATGTTACAGACAGATAACAGAGATTGTGAAAGTGCTGAAGTCCTAAGAACATGATAAGTACTGTTTCAAATTCTCTATGCCATCATCTTGAATTTTTGCCTGATTTATGTCCAGCATGGCTTATGTGACCTTAAGGACATTAAAATTTGCTATCTTTATCTGATTAGGTGATTTTGTGTTCTGATACAGCTATCATGTTATGTCTTAAAAGGTGAGCAATGAGGTGATTGTGTGTGATCAGGCTGTGGCACCTGATCTAGCAGAAAGTAAGGCTGAAGATTGGTCTTGTTCCAGAGAGAACCTCTGCATCACATTACCCAGCACATGCTGAGCTGCTCTTGTACCACCCTCAGCTCCATTTCTCCATACCAGGCTGGTGATAAGGACCTTGCTTACAGAAGTCTTCTGATCACAGTTCACGTAGAGTCCTTGTCACCTTCTCCACCAGCTCAAGGGGCAGCACTTGGCACAGAAAGGTCTTGGAGGTGCCCAACTGCTCCACACCAGGTTCAACACTACTCATCATGTGCAAGAAAGTAGTTAATTGAAAATCATAGCTGCAACAGGGAAGGTCAGTGAAAAATGATGGACTTTTCCCTTTATTATTGTTATTTCCACAACAGACACCAGGTGCAATTTTCCTGCAGCACAGGTTACACAGCCCCACGTGGCAATCTGCTCAGTATGTTCCCATCTATCATTCCTGATTGAGAGATTCACTAACTGTCAAAAGGTATTTGCTTTTAGAATCACAGGTTCAAAAACATTATCGTACTATGTTTACTGAGCAACTTTCTGGCACTGGATGCTGTGATCATTACCCAAATGAATCAACTAAAACATTTCAATAAACAACATGCTGGCTTTAAAGTTGAGATCTTTAAGCGACAGAAGACTGTAAGCCTCACTAAATTAAATTGTGTCCTTACACATTGAAAAGCTGTCTACAAAATACAAGAAATATTTAGATGTCTAGTGGTCTCACAATGAAAATTGCTCCTCTGTCTTTGTCCCTCACTCTCCCCCTTCCCACCTCCACTGCAGCAGGACTATGGGGAGGGAGATACAATATGAATCATAGAAATCCTATATGTCCACCTACCCATTTCTACCTCCATATTTCTTTTCACTTAAGTATTAGCCATTTCTTTTGCATTTCATCATGTCCACATGAAGAACAGTCCAAAACTGCACAAAGCACTCCACACAAAAATCAGTATTACTCACAAAAGAGACCTCAGAGGAATGAGATCTGTCACTTGGTAATGGACTGACCTTCAGAATACCTGAACAGTCATCTGTTCCAAGACTTAACACTGAAATTCAGCTTCCCCTTGGATTTTTAAGCAATCTTTAAAGAAGTGGCAGGAAAAAAAAGTTAACTTAGAGGCCAAATTTGTCTCCCATATTGTCCTAAATTTCAGGGTGACAAGATTTACTAGAAAAAAAAAAAAAATTTTTAAAAAAACAATTTCAAGACTCATACTGCAATTAAGACACCTTTTTTTCCTTCCCTTGGATAAAAATCTCCTTCATCAAAGTTCTCTGAACTTGAATAGGATCAAGATTTGTACTAACTTAGCTGAAACTGTAACTTTTGAGCTTTAAATGGAGTTTTCCCCCTAAGCTACTTTGACTTCTGGACTCGGTGACCAATTTCCACAGGTCTACATTTGGAAGACAGAAACAAAGCAGAATGGTCTATGGTGATTTGAAGGTAGGTAGTGCAAAGTATTCTCACATGGCTGTGAAAGACTTCCCAACAGAGGTATTTGTTTTTCTCCTATCTGTTACTCAACATGTGCTCTTCTGATTAGAGGTAAAAATAGGGAAGTAGGTTAAATTAAAAAAAAAAAAATTAAATAGCAGTTAATATAGCTTAAAATTAGTAATTTTTAAAAAAAAAAAAAAAAAAGGTGCTGCATCCGGCATTATTTTGGATTTGAACACAGTGAGTTACTTAATCTAAACAAAAAAAATATTTCTGACAGAAACGACAATTCAAGACTATTAAAGATATTGCTCTATGAAGGATTATTTGTAACTTTAATTTGAGGATGTAAAGAAGTTAACTTTTCTTTTGCTATACTACACATGTAAAAAAAAGATCAAAGAAAGAAAAGAATTGAGATTCAAATTCCATTTTTAAGCAAAAATGACAATGTCTTCCTGAGTTAAAATTAATCCTTTAATGATGAATTTCAAAGGTTTAAATACTTTCTGTGACCTTGGCTTTAAATAATTATGCCAAGCGGAGCTTTCCTTACATTCAGAAAAGATTCTGAATTGTTGATCACAGCCATTTTAATGGCTTCAGGCTGGCTGATTTCCAACATAATCCTCCAAATGCTGTTTAAAATTACAGACCAAGAACCTGACGCAGGTAAATGAACTGTCACTTTCACAAAGGCTGTTCAAGCAGTATAGGCAGATTGTTAATTTGTGCCACTGTACATCGCTTTGCAATAAAATGTATGATTTATTACATTAAGGCATATAAAAAGATACTTCAACAACTATCTGCTTACATATACACAGGGTCTACCATAAATATTAAGTAGGGTTTTTTTAGTTTAGCTTTTGAAATAAAACTCACATGGTTTAGCTCCTGTCATCTCTAACGTGGTGAAACACTTGAATTCAAGACACTGGCACGAGGGGATGCTCAGCCAGCGCTGATGAGCAGGCAGAGACCCCACTGCACAGAATGGGGAGTGAAGTCTTGATGTATCTGAAACAATTTCTGTTTTCAAGCTTTCCACACAGTCCTTGCTCACCTGATGCACACAGGCAAATGCAGACCAACCATTGTTAGCAGCTAGACCCAATTTCCTTGTAGCTTTAGCCTGAGCTTCTCCTTCCTTAAGAACTCACCCTCTTTTTGAGGGAGAAAAACCTTGGTAAGACAGAACCGCCTTTTCGACTCCATCTCTTCCAGCAAAGGAAAGGGATTAGCCTAGTCCTTGGCTGGCTTTGCCTTTGAAATCACCCAGATTTTTAAAGTCACAAGGACCCCACTCCCCAGGGCTGGAAGGTGCTGCCCCAGCAGCATACCTGGGAACGGCCGCGGCCTCCGCACGTGCCAAGAGAAGCCTTTCATTAGAGACCTCCAAAACTTTCCACCCTCCTGCCGTGACGGAGGCATCCAATCTGTTTTTTCAACTCGAGTGACCTCTAAACACTTTTCCTCAGTGAAACTTTGCTTCTCTGACTTTTGGGGTGATTGCTCCCCTTCTGCCATGCCACGAGAAGCAGCCCTGTGTGAACCTCTTACCTTGTCCAAGGCTTTCTCCGTTTCTGCCGCGTGTATCTTTTTCAGGTCTAATGCCATCTTCTCCGCCTCCACTTTCAGTTTATTCAGTGCTGCCTCGTGGTCCCGAGCTGTCCTCTGCTTCTGCTCTTCCCACTGACCATTCAGCTCCAGCAGCTGCTGCGTCCGCTGAGCATTGACCTGAATCAGCTCTTCCTTCAGCTTGTGGATTTGGTTCTCCATGTCACAGATAACCTGAAATAAAGAACAAACAAAGTAAAACAAACAAAGAAACAAACACCCCAAGAACACTACAAAACTAAATCCACTTGATTTTCTCAGACAAGCTGTTAGCTGGGGTAGGGAGCAGGCTGGGAGGATTCTCTATCTCTTTTCTTGGTCTCTCTTACTGCTCTTCTCCTCTTTGTAGGTGCAGTTAAACACAGCTCCCCCTTGCCCAAATCATGGATGGAGCAAGATGTACCTTTTTGGAAAGGTTGCCCCCAAAGGTGAAGAAATTTAGTTTGTGGTATATAATCAATATGTATAATGCCATGCCTTTTGTTGTTTTTTTTTTTTTTTTTTCCCTTTGCCCTTAAGAAATGACCTGCAACCTTTTAATTAGATGTTAGTGTATCATCAATCATTTATCAATCTCTGCTACAGATTTCAGACTGTATTTTGTCATAACGTGCACCAGGAACGTATCAAAGAGTGTCCTTTGGGTGAGGGAACTGGAGCACGCCGAGAGAGGATGACACAGGCTGGTGCAGAGAACCCTTAAGACTCTACAAACACACTATAGATAAGACACACAACCTTCAAAACTGAAGACAGAGTCTTCAGAACCCACAACCATCTTTTAAGTGATCAGAGGTCCTTGGGAGCCAGCTCAGAGCCTGCCCTCCACGGAGGCACTTGAAAGGCTGAGGAATGAAAGGTGCACGTGGTAAAGGTGTGTTACTCCTCAAGTACACAGCATACACATTGCTACTCTACAGCAGCAGCAGGTGTACGGTTATTCCTGTAGATTTACACTTGCACATAACTCCTCTTAGTTACTTTTCTAACTGCATTTCTTCTGCAGCTTCTTAGCTGAAGTGCAGGACACTGCACGTGGACATGAAACTGGTGGAATTGCAGCTAATTGCCATGTAGGACATTGCAAGCACATGTATGTTTTCCTTCATAAATGTAATTCTGAAAATGAGCACTTTCACTAAAACTCACAAAGTATTTCTCCCTTTTTTCCTCCCTGCTTCACAAGTAACTTTGCAGTTGCTTGGAATTCTTTAATACAGAATGTGATAATAATGAGATGAGAAATGTATGTTCCACTGAACAGATGTAGGGGATTCAGCTCAAGCTTATTAAAGGTTTCATGAGAAAATCTGATAAAAATTACTGTATATTTAAAGATCCCATTGCCCTGGAACACCAGTTACTGATTCTAGAGCTCTGAACTGATCTCTCTCTCCAGCTACAATTTTTCTTATTCAGACATTTTAATATACTGTCTGTATTTAGCTAAACCATCTATTTGCAGTCTCTGAGAACCACATTACTACAAATCTTTGAAAAAGAAACATTCATTTCTGACCAAAGTTGGGAAATGAGTGACTATCAGATATACTGCCTTGGACATTAATATCCCAAGACAGATTGTTATAAATGCTGTGATCTGAGAGAGAAAAATTGAGGCTTGAAATTTTGCCTGTTTTCTTCAAACTATTTAACCTACATGGTGTAATAAAAGCCATGCTGTCTCCCCTCAAACCTCCCCTTGCGTTCTTCAACTATCACAGCTGTAATATGCATTAAATAATATTAACCACCTCAGAAACATATCTCAGGGCTGACTTTAGCTTCCATGCTTTCTTAATTACTCCTTGGCATTATTTCCCTCTATGTCAAAGGTAAAGTTTTCTGTGTGTATGCGTGGAGATGGAATGAGAACATCGTTTGTATACAGAAGTATAACACAGGCCACATACTTCAGCTCTAACAGCAATATCTCAAACATATGTTTCCTATAGTGTAATCTGCACTAGATCCTTTCCTTCCTTTTCTGATCTTTTCCTCTACATGTTTAATTTTTTATTAAATCTGTACACAGACTAAAAATGTAAAGTATATTTTAGTATATAATTATAACCTACGATATACTTTTATAATTCTTTCAGAAAATAATTTCACCTCAAGATCATAAAAAAATGATAGTCTGGCTTTTATTTAACCAAGAAATGCTTTGTCAGTGAGGATAAGAGCCACAATTTCTGTAGCATGATACGCTCTGAGTTCTTAAACATATAAAGCATCTGGGATTTTTAATAGCTGTTTCAATGCAAGTCCTGCCTGGAACAGTAACATTTATCTTCTAATCTGTGAGAGCTCCTCCTAAAAGCTCATTCCCCTTTTACTACCACCCTCTTTTTTTTCCCCCCTGATTTTTTATAACAACAACAAAAAAGTCGAACTTCCTTACACTTCTTTTTCCCAGTATAAGTGAAACTAAGATATTACATTTCTCAGAAGTTTCCTTAAAAGTTTGATAAAATATTTAGGATAGGAATCCAAGGCTAACTTCTTCTAATACAGGGAAAATTCATCCATAAATCATATTACAAGTCAAAATAGAGACTAAGTCAATTCCTGAATCAACTGTTACATCTTTCTGCTTTACTTCATTCTATGTTCAGTAATTCTAACACAAAGCCATCAGAAAATGAAATAGAATATAACATTTTCTACTGCCACAGGGAAAAAGTAACAGCTCTGAGCCTTCAGATTCTAGACTAGGGAGCCAAAAGACAGTGGGCTGAATGTTATAGGTAAAGTAACATTGATTAATATGCAAAGGAGCATTAACGTTGGACCTAATAGATGGCAAAAGGAGATTTGGTTCTATTAGGAAAGAAGAAAGAATCTGAAGACGGGGTGATGGCAGCGAAACTAATATGATTAAAGGAGTCCTTTTGGAGTAACTTCACTGCTGGTAAGATGATGTTAAGAGACATCTAATCTCTCCAAAGTGACTGGAAAAAGCTTAGATTGGGGATCACAGACACAGTTCTTGCCAATTACTTCAAAATAAGTCTAGTTCTCACAGCCAGATTATTTTTTCCCACAAACAAAGTCACTGGCAGAAGCAGCTTACGACTGAACAACTTGCTGCATAAGACAACTTTGTGTGACATGGATGTCCTCAAACTGCTACAGGGAATGAATCCCAAACTCTCCATCACTAAGATCACTATTCCACATGCCAGGTTTAATAGACTATTATTAGACTTAAGCATAGGCAAATTAGTACTACTAGGAAAAAAAAAAAAAGATGACATAATTCCCACTTGTGAAAAAGCCCTGAAATATAAAACTTAAGAGCAACTGTTTTTTCTGAACAATTCAGTGGAAAAACGGAAGATGCAATTACCAAATCTCACTTCTCAGGCCTGAGATCTGAAGGCAGGTTGATTGTTCGGTTTCTTTGTAAAATTGAATCCTTTTTCTCAGCACTGGTTTCTAAAAATCTTTTTCTGGCTGCTCAGATGTATGTTTGTGGACCATGCCTACCAAATTGTTTGCATGGTCCAAGCGATAGCTTGAGTACCAGAGCTGCTGTGACCAGTCCACATGGAAGTAACCTCTCCACCAAAGCAAATTATTCTTGTGCTAAACATAAGGCTTAAACATAAGAAATAAAGACTTCAGAGTATAGAGTAGGTTCTAAATCTTATTCCTAACTTGCTGCCTTTCATGGACTAAAATGTTACAGTCTCTATTTCAATTGCATAGGTAAAAGTAAATGAAATAAAAGAGATCTGTGTCCTTTTTACTAAGGGTGCAGAAGTCCACAGTGATTCCACGGGATGGCCCAAACAAGAATGCATTTTGTAAAATCACTACTAATCCACACACAGGAAAACAAATAGAAAGAAAACACTAGCACAGTGTATCCCAAACAGAACAAAAATACAAGTATCAAACCAGTGTGACAGGGTAGAGGTTTCACATGGAATTTATATAGCATATTTGTATGTGCATCTATGTATGTATGACAGTCCCATAGCTGAGGAAACTGCTAGCTGAGATGGTGATTTCTATTTCTGTTTCAAAGGAATAACTTAAAATTCTAACTAAGAATATCTATGCTGAAATAGTGTCATAAAAAGGGTGGGTCATAAGCCCACAGTAATATGCCTGTAGGGAAAAAAGACTTGAAAGAAAAAAAGAAGGTTGCTCACTCACTTTGGCCTATTTAAAAAGCCAATAAATGTACTGTATGTTATTTGGAAGGAAAACATGTGCTCTTAATTTTAAAAAGTAAATTGCACAAGAAAACATGAAGTTGGCAAAAAGTTTAAATTAAAATCCATTGCTGAGGTCTGAAACTTTGGTACAGCTACAAGCAGCAGTGATGTGACTGAATGACTACAATCTAATTAAAAAAAAAAAAATACCCTTTATTTTGCAGGATTTTCTTCTTCCAACCCATGAAGCATCTACTTGGATCAGTTTCTAAGGAAGAGGCTGAAGCATGACTGCATCTTTTATACTCACAGTGACGGAATACCTGGACTTCACTGTCTCCCTCTCAATGCATTACACACCAAACCACATCCACGCCAGCACCATACTCAGCTTCAAACAGTGTTGAGTTTAGTGACTCTTTAAACAGAGTCACAAAAACAAGACAATGCAGACTTGGGATCAAACCCACTCTGAACGTACTCCCCAAGGCTCAGATCTAGAATCATTTATTTAGGTGTTGCTTCAGCAGTTTTTACAGTAAGTGACCAACATCTCCCAGCAGATATCTGGGAACCAACAAAACAAAAACCCCAAAAAATCAACAAAAGCCCCTAAAAAACTTTCAGCAGGTTCCACGGACTTAGAGCTCAGACATGAACTGTTAGGTTAGATGATCACAATGATCCCTTCTAGAATAATAACCTAAAATATTGTCCTCTAAGTAGCAGCTCTATTTGAACCACCGATATGCAGCTTCTGCCTCTGTGTGCCAAGAGGCTTCCTCAGCATTTCCTCAACTGGAAGAGCATTAAAATTAGCACATGCTTTCAACAGTGCATGACGTGAAACCATCAGCTGAACCCTTCTGAAAGGGAGATTTGTTTCTTTGTGTCTTGTTACGCTGGCGTGATGTGACAGAGATGGATGAGGTACACATAACATTTGTTATTGGGTAGTGGATTATTTTTGAAAGGAGATCAGTCCAGTCAAGGGAAAGGAAGTCT